TCTGCACAGAACCTTGTGTAAAATCACACTTGTCCTTTTTATTTTTTATTATGAATTTTCACACAGAATATTTTGTACAGCTTTTTTGAACAAATTAACCAAACAGCATTAATTAGTGAGCTTGATTTGTGCTTTTAGACAGATTTTACTTACGAACCGAGACAGACCGGTTGGTCCATCTATTTTCATTCTTTATGCTAAGATAAGCTTACTGGCTGCTGGCTATAGGCTTATATTTACCCTATGAACATAAGAACGACACTGAACTTCTCTTCTAACCCAAGCAAGTAAGGCAATAAATGCAAAATGTTCAGCCTTCCTTTAAAAAACTTAAAGTCTACTTTACAGAATCTACAACTTGAGAATAAACAGATTCATGAACAGCACTTTATGGGTAATATGAACTGAGCCAAAAAGGGAGTGCTCAGGGCATATGGTGTGTAATTTTTGTGAAGGATCTGATCCTGAATCCTGTCTGAATAAAACAGGATGGATTTTGAGAATAGCATGGAAAGGGATCAGAGACATGTTTGTACATGTGCCAGGTAATTATTTGGCTTTCAGTGTTTTGAACAGTCAGTAGTCTTTGTGTTCCCTTTGCACTCTGTGTGTCTAATGTAGTGTCTTGGTCATAAGGACCCAGTACCTGTGTAACCAGACAACAGGCATGTAAAACTTTGCTACATTAACATGTAGTTTGGACTTGTTTACTTGTCTTGGGTATGCTTGACTGACTCACTTGACCCTGTGTGATTACTGCAGTTGTTTTTTTCCTCCTCTAGTAAAAGGAACAGGAACAAAAATTTCACCTGTGGCCTATTGAAACAGGTTCAGAAGGGGTGTGTTGGATGTAATTCTCCCTACTGACTTAGCTAGCATGTTTACCCTTTAATAACTGTGTAACATCTTCTCTCAGACTAATCCTCTTTTCTTCTGTACAGGTGAAATGGCAGCCTGTTTTTGTCATCATTAGTCACGTGGACCAGCTCTTTGTGTGTCACTAAGGATGAGTAAGCTTTTTAGAAAAACAACAAAAAAGAGGGATGGTACAGTGTTAATAAGTAACCAGAGTGTTGCACCTTTTGTTCTGTATTGATTCTTACCACTCAAATAGTTTGAGCCTAATCGGTAAATTAAAGTCTCTGATTAACTTAAAACCATAAGTGCAATCTGAAGTATTCTCTTATGAATCAATAACAGATACAGTACATGACATTTCCTGAAAAACTGGCTCTGCAGTTAGACACCCATAAGTGGTTTATTACTTCTTCTGTTTCGATAAGAGTTCATTTTCATTTCAGGGAAGTGTGATACGTTGGAGTGCCCTTGCAACTTCAGCAGTAAGTTAAACCCAGAAGGAACTTCTTAGATAAATGATTAGGTTTATGAGAACACGAGATAGGAGTAACTTTTTAGCCATGCTGTTGGTGATGCCTTTGGTTTTCATCTAAAGTCATTAGCAGGTCAAAATTTTAACTTGGCCAATACTTTGATTTATGACCAATAGTAGGGTGACACTGGTGCGGTGGGTAGGGCAGTCGTCTTCAAATCTCGGTGCCTGCAGCCCACATGTTGAAGTGTCCTTGGGTAAGACAATGAACCCCCCAAGTTGCCTGTGATGGCGACACGTATGCACGCAGCAGCCCGGGGCCCTCGGCTCCTAACAAAGTTTCATTGTACGTGTCACAATAAAATAAAGCTTCTTCTTCAATACCTGCATAACTTAATGAGACTCCAATTGTATTCAACTGTGTGATCACTGCTACTTAGCAAATGTTAGCTAATTATTATGATAAACTAAGATGGCAAGCATGTAGTATTGTTACTGTGAGTATTTAATGTTTGCAAGGAGCTCAAAGCACAGCCATGCCTAGGTAAAGCCTCACTAGAACCGCTAGTGTGGCTAGTCTTGTTAAAATATAGACTAAATGTTTTAGTCATTGCTACCTATAAAATAATTCCCCTGTTTTCTTGCCAGAGCCAGACTAACACCAGTCTCGTGTCTATATGGTACATATGAAGCTGCAGCCAGCAGGCACTTTGCTTAGCTCAACAAAAAGACAGGAAACAGGGAGAAATGACTAGACTGCCTTTGTTCAAAAATAGCACAGCAGCCACCTACCAGCATTTTTAAAGATTACTGATATATCTACAGTGGTCTATGGGATAGAGATGCTCGCTTGTGAACAGAAGGTTGCTCTTCAATTCCCACACTGCCGTGATTAAACCTGGGTGGGACAGGTGACAAAGCAATGCCTGCCCCATTCTCATCAACACTGCTGTGATGGCCTTGAGCAAGGGCCTTAACCCCATCTGCTCCAGTGGAGCTGCTCCATAGCCAGCAGGTCAGACTGTGGTTGTACTGGGCAGCTTTAGGTGTGAATGTGATCAGGGGACTTCTGAAAAAGAGGTGACCTACCCTGAATAAATAAAAAATGTGATCCAACCTATGACATTTTTCTACCAAACTCAGCTGTTCTTCTTTCATGCATGCTAAACGAAGATGGTGAACACGTTAGCGTCGTCACTGGGAGCTCCTCCCGCAGCTTGGTGTCTGACACAATGTGTAACACAAATGTAGGGATCAAACTCGGGTCATAAGCCAGAGGTCAGCCCCCTCCACTGAACGCCACCAGCTGCTGCAGAAAGTAGAAAACACTAACAACAATCTTGTGGTGTTTCCACTTTTATGATTCTTTGTTGTTGTTTTTCTCTGCCTCGAGAGCCTGGCCTTGACATGAAAGCCCAGCCAGAATGTTACAGTGGTCAAGCTGCCCTGCATCTGCTTAAACGGGATCTCTCCCATTACAAACAGAAATGAAGAAGCCAATCAAATTGCTGTTCCTGCCAGAGAACTTTATGTCAGTTCCAGACAGTGTGCTGTTTGGACAGTGCACACTGGGGGGGGGGGGGGGGGGGGCGGTCA